TTATTATCCAATTCTTATTATTCCTTCATTCAATTTACAAATCCATTTTCTTCAACTATATTCGGACTTCCGTTGACCATAAAAAATATATATATATATATTCTGTTTTGTATTAAAAGAAAAAAAATTCTTGAATTACCTCACAGCTCCACTTCGATATATCGAAAAGGAAAAACATAAAGGTCGAGAGAGAAACCAAAGGAATCCCCCTGCTCCCTATATCCAGCCACACATTACGTGATATCTAAGAGCATACTTAACTAATCGGGATACGTATGCTTTGCTAATTGATATCTATTAACTGCAGGTTAGTCTAGCTGTAATTAATTTGAACAACTATGCATAATCCATCTTAAAGTTTATATCTAAAAAAAATTTATCATAACAAAACGAATTTCATGTGAAAATGTTCTCTGAATTTTATAAACCAACTACGGAGCTATAATATCTTTAGTATAGTTGAATTTAGTAATAGCTTATAATATAGCCTGAAATGGCAGAAAATAAAACTCAAATAGTCAAATTGATTCTCAAGAATGAGTATCACTTAACAATTAAGACAGTTTATCGAAATCGTAACATGGACAAGGACACAATAACAAATGGATATTGTATATGATATTTAATGAGCTGAAGATCTGGCTGACAGATTGCATGCTTTGGCATATAAAATATTAAATAGAAGAACTGTGCTCTTAAATTAAATAGTTCTTCAAAACTAAGCATATAGAATTCGGACAACTTGAAGTTTAGGAAGTTGCCAGCAACGAAAAAAAAAAAAAGGTTCAAAAAGAATTATTATGGAGGAGCGCTAATGCAAAGGATGCCTTTAAAGAGATTAATGTTTAAAAACTTTAGTGCTCTCGATCAATCTCCGCTGGCTTTAGTACCAGTGACGCGGTTGAGAGAGTAGCGCAGGGTTCTCCTGGAGTTCCCTCGCCTCATTGTAAATAGTGTATATAGGTATGCATGTGTTTTTTTGCTTAGTTTTAATTTTCTTATGTTTAGGTTATTTTATTTTATTATTTATTGTATATACTTTTAATTATTATTTTGCTTCTATTTATTTTACATTTTTTGTACATATAGTGTGGATGTTATCCTACCTCAATATAACCAATGTCCAAGAGATAGATTGTTGTAATACTCAATAAATAAATTTTAAAAAAAATTACTGAATCCTAATGTGGACGAGGATAATATATTTTATTTTATTTGAAGGATTAAATTAGGAACAGAAGTATTGTAAAAAGTGTTCTCTTTCTGTTCTTAGGCTAGGCAATTATGATAAGTAGAGTAGGATGTATATTATTTGAACAGAGGAGGTGAAAGAAAAATCCATAACCAAAAAACTCATTCTATATGACTCATTGGCGAATCTTTTTAGCATAAAGAACATCAGTTCATCACTAAATCCAAAGTTCAGGGTGGACGGGAAACGGTGGATTGGTCACTCAAAAACATCAATTCAGAGGAAAATAAAATGATAATAAAATTTGGCAAACAAGGATGTATGGAATGGCAATAGCAAGGCAAAACCTACGGATTATATTATCTCAACATATTACAATTTTTTTCGTAGTATAGAAGAAGTAAATATATTTTATTTATAAATTTTTAAATTAATACTTATTTAGCTAGCAATCATCATATGTAGGTCTTCTCTCTTCTATATTATTTTTAATACATTCTAATAAAGTTGCAGCCTTTCTGTTTTTTATCTTTAGGATGAAACACTCATCTGTTTCTAGACAAACGCCGCCAAACATCCATTGTTAAGGGAGAATTCTCCCTACATGATGTTCTCTTTTAGAAAAGAGAGAGAACACATTACAGCAAATAATAGTTGTAAAAAAATGATTAAATGCGCAAATGATTAAATGATGAAATTTGAATGGTTACTAACCCCTCCAAGGTTAGGAAAGAATCCTTCTTGAATTAAAGGAACACCTAAGACGCAGCGGCAAAATGGAATCTCACACGATGCCTTCTTTGGTGTACGAAATTAGATTAGGTCGTTGGACAAGAACCAGGCACATATCGTAAGCTGATTCAGGGGGCCTTGATTCCGCAGTAAATTGTTGCTTCCCGGATATTTAGATAGTAACCACCTTTAACACAAAATAATAACCCATAAAATGTCGTAAATTCTCTTGCGAACATTTTATAGGAACAGAATCAAAAGGATAATCAAATTTTCACCTTTTGTTTTTCCTTTTCTTTCCGAATGGAAATATAAAAGAATAAAAAAAAAACTAAAATAGGAGAAAAAATTAACATATAAAAGAAGGTATCAATTTCAAAATTTCGTAAAATGTTAAATAATAAATACAAAAGAAATAAACGGTTAGTAAATAAATTATTTTTTTTATTTATTAAAAGGATACTTTTCCATATCATCGTAATACATTATTTTTGTTTTTTTGAAGGAAGTATAGATAGTACAGAGTTTATAATAATGTTTTTTTAAATGTCATTTTTTTCATTTAGTTAAAAGATTTTTGTTTCTCTCTCATTCCTTTTTTTTTCTCTAATATTTCTGCTCAATTATTCTTCAGTTAAGATCAACTCCTTCAGATGAAATATTCATATAAACTGTTGTCAAACGACACCGTTCTCTGATGATTTCTTCATAAGAAACAAGATTGACAAGAGATGTTGAAATGAGCTAATAGGAGGAATATATACCGTGCAAATAACTAATAGAATACAACTGGAAGACTTAAAAGGAGTCGGATGTAAGATCTCCTTGCATTGTTACGTGAACCTTAGCCAACCCACAGGTGAGATGTTGCCAGAAACTTCTTAATGGATATGAGGAGCCACTCCAAGCTAGTTTATACCAGATGTTTATATTGATGAGTTTCTTTTTTTTCCTTCTCACTCATTGAATTGCGGTATAAATAGATTAATCAGACCTGACCTTTCGACTAATTTACTTTAATAAACTAAAACAATAAAATTAATACGATATTATGTCACAGCCAAATTCACATCTCTGTGAGGTTGTAACCACAGGCTTTAAGAAGATATTTTGAGGGTATATATCTGTGGATGTGGAGGTATGCGTGCCAGGAAAGAAAATTAAATCCCAAAGAATTAACCTCATTGCAATAAAAATTATTAATTGGAGAATGTTAAAACGGAATTAGTTAGTAGGATGACCAATACATCTCCTGCATAAATCCATTGAAAATCTCGTTGTCAAAAATCATCTTCATTAGTTTGTAACATGATTGCGTTTAACAATTACAATTATGTTAAATCTGCACAGTTGGTTCCTCCTGGTAATCTACGTTCAACCTTATACAGGTCAGTATCAAAGAGGATATCAAACGTAAGCGAACATCAACCAAAAAACGAACCACCCTTACATTCAGGATTTTTGCCAAGAAGGACAGCTTAATTTTGCCTCCCTTTATTTCATCACCCAACATCTTTAATAATCTTAATATTTTAATAATATGATGTATAAAAAAAAGACCGTTTTGTCAAATTAAAGATTTCAAAGGACTTTAAATGTTTCAATCCTATTTAATTGAAGTGACTCGTGAAGTAATTAAATATGAAGGGAAAGATGTTTTTGACCATCGCGTTACGCGGCGTTGGTTTAAAAAAATTTTCAGTTGAGATACGAGATTGGAAAGGAAGAGAGGCTTGAAGAGCGATAATTAATGGACATTGATGAGGTTCTGCAGGAAGCTGTTGAGTCAAATCCGTCCACAAGAACTCGCGAATTTTCCAGGGAGTGTGGTGTATCGAACGATACTGTTAGTCGTCATCTACTCTCCATGGGGAAGGAGAAAAACATCAGTAGACTGGTCCCTCACGAACTTACTCCTCAGCAGTCAGCTAAGAGGTTAGCAATTTGTGAAAATTTATTGAAAACCCCTTCTGATACTCCTGCCTCATCCACCATATAGTCCAGACCTAGCACCATCGGATCACTACTTATTTAGATCCACGGCCCATTTTCTTCAAGGAAAAAAAATTAATAATTTTGCAGAAGTTGAAATAGCGGTCCAAGAGTTCTTTGACAGCCATCCTAAAGAATGGTATCATCGTGAGATCGAGCAATTGCCTAGCAGATGGCTAATGACGGGAGACAACAACGGACTATACTTTGAGCAGTAATTGTATTTTATATCAAAGAAATAATAATACAAATATTTGGTTGAAAAAACGATCGTTTTTACTTTCACTTACGCATATATGTAATATATAGTAAGGGTAAGTATTGCGATCGAGAAAATTTTTGAATCTGAGTTTTAAACGGAAATACACGTTTTGAGGTACCCTGAATCGAAATGACCAAGTCCCGAAAAATGGTCTGTGTCTGTGTGTTTGTATGTTAGCAGTCTAGCTCAAAAACGAAAAGTCTTACGAAAGTGATATTACGTATTTAAGATAGGTATATGCCTTAGATGTGACAGCAACTTCTTCCTTAAAATCGGCTAACCGGATGTGCCACTTTATATCAACGCTGAAAAACATATTTTTTTTTTAAACACCGTATTAGAAGTCTAGTTTCAGATGATATATTTCGAAAGGAATATAATCTTATAACATTAACATAATATTGTCTGAATTTCAATAGGAAGGTAAATAAATTAAAAAAAAAAAATCTATAAATGAAATTCTTATTTATTTATTTAGAAATATAACAATCTGTCATTTGGACAATGATTATTGTGAGATATGAACACATTCACACCGAAAAATGAAATTACGCGCGAAATTTGCAATCCTATAGTTCTGCCGCCCCAAGCCTGTGCCACCCCCGTCATAGTTTGCCTGCACCTCTCTACAAAACAACTATAATTTAAAACAAACATAACCTTACGATGGCTGACGATATATATTTTTGTGTAAAAACTTTGGTATATTACTCGGAAGAACAACTAACTTTATCGGGGGACTCCTTAGAGATATCAGATCGTTGACTCCTACCCTCGTGTATTTCGCTGGTGCTCCAGATGAGGGACTAAGAGATTGAGACAATGAGGGCTAAGACTTCCTCGATTTACGTAAGCCCAATCCGAAGGTGGAGGGGGGAGGGGTGCACTCCTCGAGTAGGGTATCCTTGGGAGGACTGGGAGGGAAGGGGAACCTCTATAAAGGACTCAGGACCAACGCCCTCTTCGCAGGACTTAGTTTTGTCACCTAGTGTCATGAAAATACAAGTAAGTTAACTTCATAAAAATTATATTTAGAAAAGAGGTGTGTATTTCTGATAATGATATAGTGTTTCGGGAAAGTGTTAACGAATTCGAGAGAGCTACGATTTAAAAGACCAAGTTTATAATAGGCTTATTCTTTAATTTTTTTTTACTATTTAGTAAAAAATTGCTTTTATTATGTACCAGAATTCCTATAATTAGCGATAAATATTAGACTTATAAAAAATAATTTAAAAAAAATTTCAGTTGAAATACTTTTTCTCCTTGATAAAAGGAAAAGCTCATTGAAAGTGTACTAAAAAATATATAAATAGTTAGATTTATTAAAAAAATACTATGAAATAAATAAAAAATGTATTTAAAATCGTTAAATAAATATTTTAAAATAAATTTATTAATCCAATAAATAATTGATTTTGTTTTGCTAATAATAAAACTAAATACGTTAGGCTTAGTAAAAAATTTTAAAAAATATAAAAAAATAATGAAGAAGAGGATGGTTGGGGTGATCAGTCAAAATAAAAATAGCAAAAATAAATGATAATATTTATTTTAACATTTGCCGCCATTTCTACCTGAAGTTCAGGTCTTCATCCTGTCTGATCGAAGAGATCGTTTGAATATAATTTAATCGTTTGATTCTATTCAAACGATCTTTTCGATCAGCCCTGACGAAGGCCTGAACTTCAGGTCGAAACGACGGCAAATGTTAAAATAAATATTATTATTTTTGCCATTTTTATTTTGACTTATCGCTCCAACCATCCTTCACTTCATTATTCACCACAGTCAACCATCAACCCATAATTAAAAAAATAATGCTATTATTAATTGAAAGAATGATATTGTTTTATTTCATTTTAATTTATTTATAATATTTCTATAAAGTAAACATATATTTTCATTCCAAGAAAATATTTCATGCTCTGTCAAGAAAAAAATACTTGAATCATAATCAATTTTTTTTTAACCCACAGTTCATCAATTTAAATAATCAATTTATTTTTAACACTTTAAAATTAAATATCAAATATATAATGTAATTTAGTTTACCTTTTCATGATATTTTGTTGTATAATTTAAATATTTTAATAATTTATAGATTATTCAAAATTACAAGTAGGTGAAATTTATTTTTGTTTTTAGTGATAACAGGTAATTAAATACATTTTATAAAACCTACAATTTTAATGACTAAAATAAGAATGAATAATCAATTTTTTAATCATTGAAAAAATAACCAAAAAATGAAATAGAGAAAATAAACCGAAAAATCAGAATGAAGGTTACGTCAGATTAAATAAGAAAGTTTAAAAAAATATTTAAATTAATTTATATATTATTTGAATGTTACAAACACATAGTCCCATTGTTTGCATAGTGTTGATCAAACTTTTTCTAAAGCTAAAAAAGCTGAAACGAAATGTCAAATAGGCATTAAATTGAGGAAATCAGTAGAAGATAATCTATTAATCATAATTTATCAATTCGTAGTCTAATAATTAGATCGTTAAATAGTTGTGAAGTATAAGGAATCAGGACACATCTTATCAGAATTGCAGATGTGCCGATTTCAAATGTTGCAATAGCTTAATTAATATTTAAATTCTAACTTAAGAAAAAAAAAACTTTCAAAACTTTGAACCAGGTATTGGAGAAGGTGAGGCGCTTCGGTTATCCTAAACCCTCACAACATCATTTTCTTCAACGTTTCATGAATATTTACTGAAGTGATGTGATTATCATATGGCTCATTTTCAAAATAAATGTATCAAATGTATCTTGTAATTCCATATTTATTAATTCTATTTGGTTTTATATAAATTTAATATTTTTTATAACGATTTGATGTTCACTTAAAACATTATTGCTAACTCAGATTAGACATTTCCCAACATTTTTCAAATTTGTACTAACATCATCTGTGAAGTAAGGCATAGATAATGATAAACAAACAAAAAGGGCACAAACTATTAGGTAGCTCCGGTTATTCCATGACAAACAGAAAGAAATAGTTCCTCCAAGAGCTGATAATATCGATTCATACTCAACGTAATGATACTAATACTAAAGTTACTAGTCACCGTTAGTAATTTTTAATGTAACGAAATGTAGTGAGATGCAGGTCGGGTTAATCAATAATGATATCACTAGTGAAATCATACATACCTGCCGTGTTTCGAAAATTAAACCTTAATCGAAACATATTGAAAAATTAATTACACTATTTATCAGCCATATTTCGTTTTATAAACGATTTTAATAACTAGCAGTCCTGATGTATTGGTCCAATTTTCCAAAAATACTATGTCTTCATCTTCAAACTTTTTTTATTTATTTTTTTTACTTTCAAGTTTTCACATTTAGCTTTCAGTTATTTCAAGATAAAATAATAATTTTTTGGATTGCAGCAGAATTTATACTTAAGCTATTAAAATTTACTTTAATCGACTAACTAAAATAATAATTCGTCAAAAGTATTTATTACAATTAATTTGCTCTAGAAATTCAAAAATACTAGTTTAATTCTTTTATATTTTCCCTTTCGTTTGCCTGTATACGAAGTATATAGTAAGGTAAAGTATTGTGATACTGAAAATTTTCAACGACATTAAACGTTTTGAGCTCCCTCGTGTTCAAAAAATGTCTTGCAAACATGTGTGTGAACAGTCTGGCTCAAAAATGAATAATCGTACGTAACTGAAATTGCGTATTTAAGGTTTCTATACGGCTGGGATGATACAGCAACATTTAAAAATCGGCTAACTGGAACTGCCTCTATATATATATTTGATGTTAAATATTTTTACAATTTATTTTTTTCAAAAATGGCTTTAAAAATTTTGAGTAAACTCATTAGGCTAATGTATTTTTAAGTGGTTTTTAATTAAAGGTAGGCTTAATCCTCGTATATATAGGATGAAAAAAATAGCGAATAGTCAAAATTTATTCCTTTTAAGTAACTCTGATTTGGTTTATTTGAAATAATTAACCACTTAATCTTATAAATTGGAATAAAAACGATTAAATATGAATTATAAAAGAATTGATAATTAACCAAAGAAAAGTATGGGATCTTGATAAAGGAACGAAGAAAATCAAGCGCGCACCCGAAGTTTGCAGAAAGGTTCGAATAGGCTTCCATACGTAACACGTACTTAATATAAATACGGGCTTTGTTTTCATACATGCTTGTTATTATTATCCATGAATGTGTTGGTATTATTTAATATTTAATTGTATAGATTGTAGCAATACAACAATTAATACTTAAATATACACCTGTGCACAAACAACAGAAAATAGCTATAATGTAATATAAATAAATATTGCAGCCTTCTTTATCAGCAGTACTCTAGGCGGATTGAAATTATTTCGTGGCACTTTATAATTTATTATAATTAAATATATAATTAAAATATAGAGTTGCAAAATGACATAGTTAGTGACAAACAATGATAAATATAATACATTATACCGTCTGTATTTCACTCCCCTTTATCTGAAAATATCTATTTCTGCTAAAAGAATGGTGGTAAGTGAAAGTAGTGTGTTGTGCTCACCACATCACATTTTTTTCTTTACGTTTCCAGTATTATGTTATGGTATGATTGTTTCATACATCTCAAATACTCAATGCCCTTAATTGAGGCAAAATGTATTTTTTCATCAATAAAAAGTATTATCTTATAAAAAAAAAAACTTTAATGTTTTTAATATATAAATCAGTATTGAAGTGATAAATTAGGGGAAATTAAAAGGTAGTTGGTTATAGATGGAAATAAAAGCTATAACGAATAATATTCAAATAATAACGATTCAAAATTATGGAAGAATAAAAATTATTTTATAGATTAAACTTTGAGTTTAAGAAGTGTTAATAAATACACCTGATATGATCATACATAGAATTTTATAGTTGTATTATTTGAAATATGATAACACATTATAGTAAATAAAATTTGATTTCGTAAATTTTAAGTAATATTGAAGAACGATTTGGATTTTTTTTTAAAAGTATTTAAAAAGGTTTCCTTCTGATTAATAAATGCGACCTAGATAAGATTTTTAATGAGATAATTATTACATACGTGGTAAGAAACTGTAAAATCCAATTGAGCTACCGAAGGATATCAACATGGTGGCTAGGTAGCAATTAATAAGGTGGGTACTTAAAGAAAAGTATAAAAGCTGCTCTGCAAGACTTTGAACCAGTTTGTTATTTTTTCTTTCAATATTAATTTATTCTGTAATATTGTAGGCACCAGTTGAAGAAATTGTTTCACATGCATGAATAACAGCTAGATTATTATAGCAGTATTATTTATCTTCTTTTTTTTTTCCTTTCGTTTTTTCCCTTTCGATGGCCTTGGAAAGTCGCTAATACCAATAATATTGGAATGTTAATACAAGGTTACCGCTACACGAGTGCGTCGTATATCTAACCATTAAATTTCCTATGGAGTATGTGATAGTTACCAAAGTATTTTAACAAAACTAAAACTTTATTCAGGTTTTGAGTACTGACTATATCAATCGAAACAGTGTCTGAAATACAAAATGTACAGCTATAATATAGAAACAATCAAAACCCCTTACTTTTTACAAACCCTAAAAATAATAAACTCTGAACTTGTTACTCAGAGTGTTAAGTTGGAAACTTATTAAAAACAATTCAGTTAAAAAAACTTTTAAGTTTATCTTCCGTTTCAAGCCTTGATTTCTTTACCTCGTTTTGTACCAATCTTCTGATCAAAAATAAATTTTAACTCATTATTAAGTTTCAGATGGACCATAGGTACTCGTTTATGTTCTTAGTTCTTCCTCATATTCATAGATTATTTTAGTTGGGAATCAGACCTTTATAGGCTCATTTACTAAAATAATTTATCGTGCGAATTTTCGCCACTTCAGAGATATTATCTGAATCAAAACGTTTTACTTTAAGACCAACGATTTTTAGATACTAATTCACTACTTAAGTAACTATGTAAAAAAGTTCGATGCAACTTTCGTTTCCACGAATTTTTTTTAAGGACTTTTGTAAATCGATGATTACATACACTTATTAAATTTCGATAAGTCGAACAAATTCGAGATATCGATAACTGAAGAGTTTTTTTTTTTTTAAACGTAAATTTCAAGAACTACAAGTACAATTTTCTACAACAATTTTCTACAACACGGCTTACAACGACCAACGGGTGTATTTGTTATTGTGTATTCACATCTATACAATAACAAATAACATATCAAATAATTATAAATCAACAAGCTTCAACCAATCAGAAAAACTGACGTAACCTGACATAAACACAGTTTCTCTTTAATAGAGTGTCACTTGCAATCAGAATGGACAAAACGAAGTGACAGACTCTAAAAGCACATTGAAGCCAAATTAAGAGAAGACCATTTTTACATCAGACAATATGTTGCCTTCATTAATATCAGATAGAGGAACAATCAGTTTATACTTATAATTAAAACCTGCTTTGCACTGAAGTTAAAACGATTTCTGTCACGACCTTTATTTATTTATTTTTTGTGATTGTTTCCTTTGTTTTTGATGGAAATTTACGATGATTTATAGTTAATCAGGTGCACTTGGTAATGTAATCATCATGAAATCGCAAGGAAATATACGAGTATATTCATCTTTCTTTCTAGCTATCATCCTGTAGCAGCTGCACTGTCACTTTCTTCATATTAATGAATTAATTTTCTCCTTTCTAGTCGCCTTTTCTTTTAAAATATGGAAAGATTTTAGCAGTCTATTTTACACTCGACTATACTATAAAAGCTTGGCTAAATCAGATTTTTTGCGTTTTCTTAAGTTTTCAAAGTTATGCGTACCTCTACCGCCCTTCCAAATTAAATTGGAGGGTTAAAAATATGTACGAATCGGATTGATATCGGAAAAGAACCTTTTTTTTTTGAAGGTCTCAGCCTTTTCTTTATATTCCTAGTATTTTTCGTGATATCACGCGATTCTCTACAGCCCTCGTTAATTCAGTTAGAGCCCGTTGTAAGACATATGTCTTTTGGAGTCAATATTTTTTTTCTACCACCAATTTTGTCAAAGTTAAGTGGAAACAAATTATAAAATGTTAAAAAACAAAACATGGAAAATAAATATTGCAGTAAAACCGATTTTAAAATTCTATTAAATTTTCTACGCTAATTAAACACATCTAAAGAAAAATTTAATCAATTTTCATCTGTTTTCTGGAGAAAAAAAACTACTATAATGGGTTATGCTATTTTTTTTTTAATCTGTATTAAAACTCATACTTGTTTTCGCAAATAAGTACTGATATGATATGGTATGGTATGATAAAAAGCTTTTATTTTGATTAAGAAACAGTTTCTGTACTCACTGAAGTTAAAATTTCTAAATTCTTTAAGTACAAAGCGATACAGTTTGATCTTAACCGGTCATGAAACTTGAAATATCTTAAATAATAATAATTTGTTATTAATATAAAAATAATAATTAATAATAGAGTTCAAGTTCATTTTCGAGAGCACAGAGAAAAAATATATACAAGATTTATAAGAAATAAATATATATATAACTAATATTTTCTTATTCGAAGAGTTAGATAATTAATACAAAATATCTTGAATATTATTTAAGCTTTTCGAAATGTAGAAATAATATACTAAAATATTTGATATGACTGATCTAAATCGAGATTATTAACATTTAATAATAATACATATATATGATTAGATACTCGTTGATCCTGACACCAAACTCAAAGGCCAGATGTTGCAAATGCATGTTTATTGAAAAGGATCATGGTCAACGAGAAGCCAGTACCAGTCTGTCCAAAAGGACCCCAAGAATTGGAACGAAAGGAACATCCCCAAACTAGTTCAGTCGGAAAGAAGTGTTTCCAAACAGGACGATTTCGTCTGATGATACAGTTCATGAATATTAAATGGGGGGGGGGGAGGGGAGGAGGTTTGAGTGTGGCAGCACGATCAAGTCGATCCGTATCTAAACATGTCCCCACTTCTCCCAAACATTTTATTTCTTCAATTGAAATCGTGAAGTTTTGTTTTTGAATTGAAATTTTCTTACCTCTTTATTTTGTCTTGAGAGATTCATTCATAAAATTTTACTTCCTGATCTTCGCCAATATTATGTTGATCGAGAATTTTAATCAATTTGATTTTAATTATCTTAAAGAATAACAGGAAGGAGGTCAACTTATTAAGTTGACTACGCCATTGGTCGACGACCTTCCAACGTGATCCACAGACCGGTTTCAGAAACGAGTCATTGTCACTTTCAATGCCTACGTATTTTTGTTACGAGTTCGTGTTTTTATGATTGTTTTTTTTTTTTTTCATTTAACCTTGGTATTTCTGTGGTATTTTATTAAACACAAATTCTTTCTTAGATACGTAAACAGGATCTAAAAATCAACATAAATTCAGATTTGGTTAAGTCACTTATTCATGGCTCAAAAGTAAATTATTAATTTGAAACTTAGGTTTATTCCATCAATTGATATTGATTTAGATCCGCAGAAAAAGGTGCCTTATTCGTAAAATGTTTTTTTTTTTTCGACTTAGATGATTGTAAACTTTTTTTCCGTAAACAAATTATTTTATTTTAACACATTTAATGGTATTGAGTATTAAAGCTGTAAGGCACATTCATACCATATTTACAATACTATAAAAATAATAATATATATATAACAAAGTGAGAAACTTTAATATAAACAAAGAAATATAACTTCAAGTGAAATAAAATAACAAAGAAAATCTTATGTAAAAAAAGAGAAGTAATAAAAAAAAATATTAATGATAATAAATTATTAGAGATGAATAAATTGATAAAACAAAACTAACAGTAATACTTAATTACAATAAATTGTAAATTAGGCAGTTCCAACTTTTTAATCTCTACAGACATTCATTTGTTTTACGTGTAAACTTGAATTATAGTTGTCAAACTATTCAACCGAGGGCGAATTATAAGTTGAAATACATTTTGATGTTTCCTTAATCCCTTGATATTACTGACATCTGTACATGTTTGTAAATAGAATTTTAAACTAAGTAATGTCGTATATAAAATAACTAAATGTTTGCTAGAGCCGTAAAACTCCCAACTAATTTAAGTTCAGCTGTAATTTAATTATTTATTTTTACTAGTGGAGATAATCAATTTGATGAAAAATAACGAAATTATTTGTTAACATAAAAATACTGAGATCTATAAGGTAAATGTGCCAGTAATAGGGTCTATACCAGTAATAGACTAGTATAGACTACTATACCAGAATTACGAGTTCGCATTCGGAAAAAAAGCCTCGTATAACCTAAGGCGAGGAAGGGGAGGGCAAAAAAAAAAAATCCTTCCAATAAATTTATCATTTATCAGAACTTCTTATCTAGAACTGCTTCAGACCTTATTTTACTTTAGGGTTTGCAGGATGTAGAGGTCCAAAACGATTCACTAATCCTGCCTCGTTTGGTTACAGGTGTGCTTAGCGTTTCTGTTGGTGGCCTCAGCCCTAGCTGAGGAGGCCGCAGCCCCCGCCGAGAAGACCAACAAGCAGGAGAAGAGAGGCATCGTCGGCTACGGCATTGGCTACGACGACGACTACTTTGACCATGATGTGCCGTCCTTCCACCACGAAGGAGTAGCCATATCCTCCCACGGCTCTCACATCGCTGTCACCCCAGCTCCAGCCATCCACTCAGCCTCCATTGCTGTCACTGCTGCTCCAGTCGTCCATTCTGCTCCAGTAGCCGTTACTGCTGCTCCAGTCGTACATGCCTCTCCAGTCTCTGTGACCGCCGCTCCACTGCTTCATTCCGGCTCTGTCCACGTCACTGCCTCTCCTTCGTACTTGGATTCTCCTATCCATGTCACGGCCGCTCCAGTTGCCAGACTTCACTCCCCTGGCCCAATCCTCTCCGCAGGTCCAGTATCTGTCACCGCTAGGCCCTACCTGTCTGCAGGCCACGGTGCCGGTGCAGTCTTTGCTTCCCGTTACGCCGCCGCCGCTCCACTCGCAGGATCCGTAGCCCTCGCCCCGGCCCCAAGATCCTACGTGTCCGAAGGAAAAATCACGGCCATCACCATCCACCGTGAGGTGCCAGTCCCGTACCCAGTACCACAGCCCTACCCAGTCCACATCGAGAAGAAGGTGCCAGTGCCCGTGAGGGTTGAGGTCCCCGTCGACCGCCCAGTCCCCTACCCAGTACCTCAGCCCTACCCAGTCCATGTCGACAGGCCAGTGCACGTCCCTGTTCCTCAGCCTTACCCAGTCCACGTTGACCGCCCAGTGCCAGTGCCAGTCGATCGTCATGTACCAGTTGCTGTACCTCACCCAGTTCCTGTCACCGTCGAACGTCACGTGCCAGTCGCCGTGCCACAGCCCTACATCGTCAAGGAACCAGTATACGTCAAGGAACACCCTACCTACTACCTGAAGGAACACAACTACCTTCATCACTAAGTCTTCCTTTACATTAGGCTCCCCTCCATCCACAATAACAAGAGACATTTACTGTACTCGTGCACCTTCACTGCCTTCCAGATGCTGGAAGAGAAACAAGATTTGTTTCCGGTGCTAAAATAAATACAATCGAAACAGCCCTGTCCGTGTAATAATGGAGGTCATGTTACCTGAGTTATGTAAATCGTGAAATATGTACGACCTCGTAATGTTACCAATTCATTATTAAATAAAATTGAAAACAGTGAAATATTATCTTTTAGAAAATAGAAAACAGTGACATATTATATTTTAGAAAAATGATTTATATAAAATATTTTGTAAATAAATTTTGTATCCTAATTTTTAATGAATGATAAAAATCCTTTCTCTTGCATCCTTGCAACTTTATAATAAAATATTCACATACCTGTTATTAACATAACATAAATTGTGTGTAATATAAAATAAATTGATAACAGAAATAGCTTTCTAAAGTGATGTTTGGTTTACATTCAGTGGAAGTCAGTGTAATAAATGTTAAATTGACAAAAAAATATGTATGTGTTAGCCATTGTGTTTAGATGATTTGAACAGCTCTAATCGAGAAGATTAAGCAAATATTGTGTTTTCTCCATCGACTGAATTTCATAAAAGCTTTAACACGTTAACAGGAAAAATAAAATGAATTGATTATATTCGTGCAGTTTGACTCATAAAAAGTACACCCGCAAAGATTTTTGAAATCAGAGTATTTGCTCGAAACAAACAAATTGTACCGGAGAAGTTACTTACGCATGTTCCTTCAGAGAATCACTCCTGGTTGTGACCGTATCGAAGATTCATTATTGCATTTAGAGAGGTACGAAAATTTCGAAAACACAGAAAGAAGTGTAAAAAAGATTGAAAAAGTTATTTAGGCATATTTAGAATAACCTATTTAAACACACTATTATATTATATAATTGAGATAGATCAAACGAATTCAGTAGCATAACCCTGGTATGATTAAGTGGCGAAATTCTTGAAAATATAGAACATTTACTTGTGAGGATAAATACTCGATTGAAAACACAGACATTCTTTGCGCCATAGTAAAATTATAATTGGAAACTTTTGAACTCCTATAGAGTATGGGATGTCATGTGTCACGGAGTGATGTTAAATTAGCTGTCCTTTTTCTGTCCTGATGATGCCTGAATTGACGAAACATTGACGGGTTTTTTTTCTTTGTCTGCATTTTGGAGACATAAGGCTGTGGGGTTTATGTTCTGTCTCTTGGTTCGTTTGTTGCTAATTCATCTTAATATATTTTTTCAATTTATATGTGATCGGAAAAACTTTGACATATAGCGGAATATATTTAACACCTTATTGAATATTTTATTGTTTAAACAGATAAATACATCTTTTGAAAAATATTTCTTATCGAACTACCTATACCTCGCAGTCTCACCCAGACACGTTTAATAATTATTTTATTTCCTCGCTACCCAAGGTGGGGAAGCATTGTGTTCGTACGAGAGGTTAAAAAAAAATTTGTGCTCAGAATCGAAAATTTCCACTTGCGTTTTACGTTTCAGACATCAAGGATCAAACCTGTCTGTTTGTATTCAAATCGATGTGACGGGCATATCACCTAGTACCGTTCATCCGATTTTCATGAAATTTTCAGGGATTATGCTGATTGGTGCCTAGATGGTCTCATATCAATTTTATCAAATTCCATCCAGCACTTCTGCTTACGCAAACGTATTTTTTTAGATATGCCAATATTTCAGAAAGGATGCTCGTTTGATTTGGCTCAATGTTGATAAAGGTAGATATTGGTGCAAAAATAATGTAGTGTCAATTTTATTGGATTCTATCCACTACTTTCTCTTATATATGAGCAAACGTGTTTTCCTTGACACGTCTATATTCCTAAAACCGCGTGTTCTATTTGACTAAAACTTGGAGGGAAGTTAAGGAACGGTAAACAGATAAACAAGTATGAATTTGATAAAATTCCGCCCATTACTCCAAAAAATGACACTTTCGCTTTCGGATCAGGAAATTTGTTATTTGATACACCTATAGTTTGAAAATTGCGCGTTCGATTTGATCCAAACTTGAAGTGTAGTATAGTAATTAAATGGTATCAATTTCATTGAATTTCATGTAATGATAAAAAAAAATATAAATAGTTGTTATCAATTGGTTGTGAAATGTGGAAGGCATTGATTATCTGGAGTGGGGGTTAGGTTAACTCGCTTAAAATTTTAGGTTTTATTCAAAAAGTTAATTTATAATGTATTGTTTGGTCGATTTCAAACGTTACTGGCATGGCACTTACTACCGTTACTTAGATTTCGTGTAATTTTTGAGAAATTTAAATTAATTTTTACTCTGTATAAAAAAAAGACTTATTTGTGATTGTGTTTATTTCTATGGAATTTCAACTAGCTCGCCGTGGTCTCGATTCCATCCTTAAATATCAAAGTTGTGTGAACTCCACACATAGTTTTATATCACAGTTAATTCCGAACAAAAAAAAAGTTGGATTTTCCTATTAAGTATATATCACTTCTGTTAGTGTGAAAGGTCGTATGTAAATATTTTCAACATTCATTCTATTTATGCTAAAAGTGACATTTTGTAGTCTACAACTGATATAAGCAGTCTGCTACGATGGAAAATAGCAGAGAGCAATAAAATATGAAATTATACCAATAAATCATAAAGAAACAATTAGTTCTTTCGCTCTCTTGTAAACATTAAATTTTTACGTATGGTCTTTTGCATTAACAATAGTGATATTAACGTTCAGTATGCACTGTTTTTTTTTTAAACTACGAATAAACAAATATGCAACATACAAATGCAGAACTCTTTCACATTTCAGTATTCAATAAACAAAACTCGTGAATATCAAACCCTAATATGTTGAGAGTTTACTAAATTTCCGAAAACGGCTTTTCCTAGAAATTTTATTCTCATACGAAAAATGTTAGCCCTTGTAATAAAGATATATTTTAGCCAATGAAAACGGCGAGGAAGCTATACTGACTTACTTGGCAGACGTTTTTAAAATAGTATAAATTAAAAAAAAAAAACAATTTTTGAATATACTAGGAACTTGCTTCCAAAAGGGCATCTATCTATAAAGTAATAAATGACTCATGGAAAAGTGCTTGATGAGGAGGAGGTGACCACGTGTTCCCTAGATATCGTCAAGTGAACTAAACGCTTAAAGAGAACCACAGCTGTCGCCTATACTCACGGCAGAAGCCGAAAAGTCAAGAGGCATAAGAAAAGAAAGACAAATAAAATATCAAATGTAACAGATTTTTTTTTCGAAAGAGCACATATAATCTAGCGTTACCATTACAAGCAATAATTCTAATAAATATATCTAACTGCAAATATCTCATATAGCAGAAATGTAGGAACTACATCCGAGTCGTCACCTCAGTGACTAGAATTTTCCGTGGATAACCTCCACATTTTCAACCTCCTCCATCGTCTAGACATCGAAGTAGACAGACCTATATCCAATTTATTTGAAACAATAGTAAGCAGAAAAATAATATCTGATAGAATCTATTGAAAGTATCCTGTATCTTTTTATACTTAAACTTGAGCCTATTATTGTAATTACATGTAACATATGAAATGGTATGTGTTATTTTAGTTCGCTATAGTTAAGTACAATAAAAAATGCAATAATGTTATCCGGGAACGGGACACTGGGCAACAAAAAGCAAATTTTTGAATGTTTTCAGCACTTCATGAGAAAATTCCTACTAATTTGTTGACTCCTAAAAATTCCTATCACTATAATGTAGGAAGCACCTATCCACAGCAATGGCTGTTTGGCTGGATCTCTGAAACTAAAGACGCAATGTTCTAATTCCCCATAGGAGAAGAGAAACTATGGAGGAGTGCATAACAACATCAATTAGACCGAGTTCCATTATAATGTTTGACCTGTGGAAGTCCTATAGTGGGATAGAAGGAATGATTGGAAAGGATTACAGGCATTTTACTGTAAATCACTCCAAAACTTTCGCCGATCAAGAGACTGGTGGTCACACTCAAAGAGTTGAGTCTTGTGGACGAAGGCCAAAAGGAGAAACAAAAAGGAATGTGGGACTCATCGCTCTATGTTAGACTCGTATTTATGTGAGTTAATGTGGAGGCATAAAAACTCAAATGAAGACGTTTTTGATAAAATCCTTAAGAACATAGTAGAATTTTGGCCTCCAGAGGTACCTGAAGTAACTCCTTAAAAGTATGTTATTGTTTTTGGTTATGTATAAAAAGTTGTTATTAAATAAATCATATGTTTCTTTAACCTATATTTTTAAGTTATCAATAAGTAACTGTTACTAGATAAATTAACTGGCGGGCCAAATCCAAACAAGACCCAATCATTTTTGATGGCTTGAAGATGGCGTAGAAAACCGAAACGTTGTGACAATATAAAAGGTTTCGAAAAATTCGTAAAACCCAGATTATTTTAGTAACTAAGCTTTTATGTATTTTTTTTAATTTAACAAAACTGGAAAATTCCACCAAGATCTGTCATTATTCGTTTCTAGCACAAGAAACGTCCTGCAATATCCACAGGTGCAATCTTTCAAACATATAGGTAATTCACATGTTATTTAATTAACAATTGTAATATTCCAAAATATTTATAGTAATTTTTTATAATTTAGGTAATATCTGTGAAAAAGCTTAACAAATTACTGCTTAGAAATAAAGCTTTTCCATTAATTTTCCTTGACTGTTTGCATTACGTAGGAAGATACAATAATGAATTTTAGCCCGGCATTAGACAGATCGATGACAAGGTGCTCTCACAGGAAAAAAACAAAACCTGAAGTTGAGTTATTACTATTATACTCACTTCTTACAAGCCATTGGAAATTAAAACTCAGAAACCGTTAAGTAGAAATTCCTTATCAATCTAACCAAATGCCTAAATGTCCCTGATCGCTGATCCCCTCTTATCTTATAGGAGTATAAAATAAAATAATTGGAAAAAAGAGAAAACTTTAGAATTAATTATTCTGTACTTACATGGCAATACTGAACCAATGTCCTTGAAAATTAGCAGAACAAACCAGTTTATTTTATTTTTTATCGGGAATAACTTTCCTTCTCTCTGAAACAAGCTGGAAATTCAAGTGAATATAAATCAATAATGGCTAAATGAGGAGAGGGAGGTCAGCAAAACTGCCTTACGAATCGGCTTAAAGAGGAGTAAAAGACACGAAAAAATATATTCGAAAATTTAAAAATATCCAAAAGCAGTTTGAACCGCATTGCCAGTCTAATCTGATAAACGGATATAATGTCTTCGGGAAGGTTTAGACAGGGTTGTGGTATTGTTACGTTCCGTATTATAATGATCCTGTATTATTTTCTGTCCCCTCGTAAAATAAAGGAAATAAAACAAAAAGTGATTAAAATTCTTTAGGTTGGAAAAAAAAAAAATATTGGTCGTATATTTG